TTTCCAGCTATGTTTGTATCCTTGTAGCCCCATCTGGTGGAGTGGGCGTTGAAGTCTCCTAATACTATGGTTTTGTGTGAGATGTTCAGAAAGTCAAAGTTTGGACAATTCTGGGGAGGATTATAGACTGCATATATCTTGAATTGGTTTTGAAATTTCCAAACATTTAATCTGATTATTTCACATTTGTCTTGTGTCGAGCCCATACTCTTGATTAGGTCATAGTGTGAGGTTAGGCCATCTTTTACTCCAGTTAGAATTCCACTTGCAACTTGCCGGTGTTTAGGTAGATTGTATAGAGTGTAACCTGGGAATTGGTAATACTTCAGTTTGTCATCCGAAATGTTAGCTTCCATAATTGTGAAAATGTCTACATCATAGGTTTGCAGGATTTTCTGTATTTGGATCTTTTTGTCCGGAGACATTCCTCCAGCATTCCACTGGAGGATCTGAAGACATTGTGATTCGCCCTGACGAGGGCGATTTTTCTTATAGCCTTTTTCAAAGCTAATCATAATTAATCGAAGTCAAAAACGTATGCCGATTGATAGACTTTTTTGCCGTAAGAAAATACGTTGTCCAGGGTGCACCACGAGGAGGTAAGTCTATCGCGCACCCCATTTTTCAAATATAATCTCTAGATATGCCTTAATATGGATCCATTCAGACACCCTTTCAAATGGAAACGTTGTTCGAGCCGATAGGGATTAGGGAAACTTGGATATATAGAGTACACAAACCTAACACGGCTAAACTAAGAGATCTACTGGTCCATCAAACATTTTGGAACGCGCGGCCGAATTGGTGGCTGCATTAGGGGTGGGGAGGGGGCAAATTCAGGCATGAGTGTAGAGAATTCATAGAATAAACAACAATCATTAGTCATCGCTGGGTTAGCTTACCCAAAAGCGTATTTAATGACTAAGCTTTGTGCTTGTGGTATTGAAACAGCAAAAAACGCATTCTACTTCATACGTTCTTTTCTCTCTCTATTGCTGAGCCACCGAAGTAAATTTGACGTAGAGATTACTGAGATTTAGACAACTCAATTGGCAATTAGTTGGAGAAATAAATAAATTAGCATAAATCTATTATTAGCTGCAGCAGATAAAAATGAGTGCGGTAGGCAGTGTGCAGATTTCATTTAATTTAAGCAATTTACAGTTTATGTCACGTTAAAATAACCAGCAAGCATTTTGAGGGAGCATTAAAAACCTCCCTTGTATGCGTATGTTTTGATGCTTCATGATCTACAACTGATTCAAGGAAGAGGAATGGGAGTAAAGCAATATCACAAAGTGCTTAGTAGGATCTTATTCTTGTCTACATTCATTTGGCTTAAGAATTAAGCTTTGCTATTCAGAAATAAATGGGCCAATGCAGCTCAATATTGGTATTCATTCTGTCAATCACTGAAAATCCTTAAAGACAATTTGATTTGAAATTGCACCATTTATCGAAATGTTGGGTGAGAAGCAGTCGAAAAACCTGCTTTCAATCATATTTATCAATATAATTGAGGCTTTTAGAACCTGTTCAGATGCGAATGTGTTTAAATGCAAATAATTGGACATGCATAAACATTGAATAAACCAAATAGCTACAACGTTTACTTTTGTTTATCGAAATAACTTAGCTGGACTTTAAAATAATGTAATAACCTTTGTGGAATAAACTTTCCTCACTTGTGTTACCTTATAGATGGTTAAATATGTCAACATAAAATGTTTGTATTAATAATGAATTAATTCAATAAAAAATTGGCATTCTTATGCTCTAATTTCCATCATTCTGGTTGCTTGACCAGGTCATTTTTCAGGCTTTTGGGTAGAGTCTGGAAGAACATTTTAGTCTTTAGACGATCAATCACTTTCGTTGAAAGAGATAATGAATATAAGCTAAAATTTGAAATAGCAGATGTGAGTTACCAAAAGAAATCGAGACAATATAAAATTGAGCCATTAATTAAGATATTTCATTGCTATGTTCAAAATTTCAACATTTGCTATTTTTTAAACTAGCCTCAACGTAAACAAAAATTTCAAGGTCGTAAGCGCATTTTTCGAAAATGGCGACATCAGCTTATCTTGAAACTGTAGGGTAAGGTGTTTAATGACTCTAGGGTATAAGGCTGAAATTATTACAAAAAATCTTTGCATATACACATGTACGAGACTACACTCTTTTTAATTTTATATATAATTTTGTAATTTTTTGGTTTGAACAAACTATCATCTTAGTAGTTTTTACTATTTATGTTACACGTATTTTCATTTTTAACAATATGATATTTTAATAAATTTGTTTGAGCAAACAGTATCGATTTTAATGTTGTTCTATTTCTATTATTGACTGTTACTAATAGTAATAATAATTATATTGGCTTCTGCAAAGATGGTATTAAAAATTCATTTTGCCTAAGGCCTATATTGTCAATTTCTATCATATGAAATTTGAGCAATCTCATTTTAGCAGTGAAAAAGATTCGATGAAATATGAACAGAATACCATCAGCCGTCTACAGGCTGAGGTATCTCGAGTACAGAAGAAGACTTATACAAATTGGATCAATATATACCTTAGGCCAGTAAGTTTTAATGAAATAATTATATCTCTACGTTTATAGCACAATATGGAGGTAACTGATCTCTACAAAGATCTAAGTGATGGAAAGCGCCTGATGCAACTGCTTGAGGTCATATCGAATGCAAACCTCGGCAAACCTAACAAAGGCATTCTACGAGTTCAAAAAATAGAGAACGTTGGAAGGGCCCTTAACTTCATCAAGTCGAAGGTAAACTCTCGTTATATTCAAATATTTATTCAAATTGTCATCTACGTTCCTTTTGAATCTCAGGTTCATTTGGAAAATATTGGGGCAGAAGATATTGTTGACGGAAATCCAACCTTGATTCTTGGTCTTATATGGACGATAATCCTACGGTTCCAAATAGAAGAAGTTATACAAAAAATTGTAAGCTCGTATCTGAAAAAAATTATTTAATACTACTGCCTTTTTGCATCTCTCATACCAAATAATAATTTTGTTGAAGCCTAATTCAAGTTAATCCCATTTCTTTTTTTTTTACCGTGATTGAATTAAAAGATGGGGAGTTGGTGGAGATACATATAATATTTTATATTTTATATTATATTTTATATATTTTTAAAAATTCATGTTCTCAAGTCATGTCTTTTATCGGGGTTGTTATCTTTCTCCTCCAACTGTGATACTGAGTCGCGGTTAAAATCGGCATTAGTCATCTTCCGATTTGCTCAAATTTTCTTTTTTTCTTCTTTATTTATTTAAGGAACCTCAACAATTTGGACCACAAAGATCAGCCAAAGAGGCACTGCTTCTCTGGTGTCAGAATAAGACGAAGGATTATAAAAATGTGGATATCAAGGACTTCTCGACTTCCTGGCGAGATGGAATGGCTTTTGGAGCTCTGATCAACAATCACGAGCCGGAAGCCCTCGATATGTCGCGGCTTCGACCCGATAGACCCATTGAAAATCTCACAATTGCATTCAAAGTCGCCGAGGAATGCTTCGATGTTCCCCAGATGCTTGATCCTCAAGGTATGTCTGATTAATAGAGTTTTTTTCACATAGTAAGTAAATCATAGCTTGTGTTTATCAGCAGTATTTATTTTTATGAAATGTCTGGCTTAATAATAGTAATCACTAGTCCTTTAGTTGATTTCAGGCATCATATAGGTGAGGAACATCAATGTCACAAAATTAGAGGGGGAGGGGAAACAGAAGAGTGAATCACATATGTAAAAGAGATAGGCAAACGCAAAGGTAGAGAAGAAGGTGAGGTTGGTACTGCGGAAGTGATCGAATATGGCAAACAGTGGGGTTGTGGTAGTTTGAATTCAAAAATCAACTTCTGGTTTATAGGCTCTTATTGGTGACTGAGTATGCGATGCCTAGGGTGCACCACGTGGAGGTAAGCTTATCGCGAAGCCCTTATCAATAGTATAATTTCAGAGATTGTTCAATATTTCACCCTATATCTCAGGCAGTTTTTTTTAAATTAGATCCTCTCCAATAATGTGTTTTTTGTTATTATGCCATATTTTGAGGAGTTTGATTTCCTACCCTTAGTAAATTATTTACTCTTTGAAAGATTAGACGTGCTTTTCTTCCATAAGTAAATAAATACGCATCAAATTATGAAGAAACTTGGAATTGTGGACTTTGAAGTGGAAGAAAAGATACATGCAATTTTGAGGCATTCTAAATCCATATCGTGTCCTAACCCACTCTAATTGGTTGAAATTCCTACAATTTAAAGCCAATTCTCACGAACTTTAGCCTCCAGGGTTTCCAGCTCACTCATCGCAGTAGGTGAATAATCCGTTCTCGAAAATGCCTTGTGTTTGAGTCAATATGATCATTTTACCTGTCAAAAGGGCTTCAACTTGGTGTTTCTTTTTCTTTGGTACTTGAAAAAATGACATTCATATTTGTGTTGTTGGCTTATGAAAATTTTTTATCCTTTAATGAGGTTTACCACTTAACCTTGATATATTCCATCAAAATTGCAGACTTCACATTGAAAGTTAGAATGGTAGAAGGTGAGATTGCCAATACTTGACGGCTTTCTTTCATTCTGTCACTCACCATCAATTTGTGAAATCCCCATTTCAGCAGTTCAATCAAACCCCTATAGTGAATACAAGAGAGTGGAGGTTTGCGGAAACACCATGTTATAACGCTCAAACACGTCACCCCATTAAGACAATAGTACGAGGTCAGTAGTTATGCGAAGTGTTACAATAAGTGAAAAGATTGTTTTCACTCTAAGTACGTATTACTAACACCGCCCACTCAACACTTATCAACTTCTAGAATCTGAGTCAGAGTCAACTTGATTCTTCAAGCTTGTGATTGCTTTAAAATAACATTATATCCAGGAAATTGAACAACTTGAGAAGTTTAATTAAGGTGGATTTAGGGATGTCACCTACTGAAACTAATGCCCTTATCAAAAAAAGGAATGGGATAAAACGACATTTCGCCCATTCGAAAATTGTGAGTTCAGCGAGCCTCAGTAAACAAATGGCAAGAAAATGGGGAGGGGGGGGGCGGTGCGAGGGGGTTGGCAGGAGGGAATGATAGGGAGGTCATTAAATTTGTATAGTTGTCGAGTTTCCATTTTCCAGCATCTCAGCTTCTCAGACTCAAGGATTAATAGTTGCTTGGCTGGTTCCAAAAATGATCGTAACAGTGACTTCCCCCACAGGTGGTCTTACATAGGTGTGGTATTGTGGGTGTAGGAAACTAATCGACTTCAACCAAAATGTTCCCTCTGGTTCACCAATACAAAAGCCGAATAAATGGGACCTGAGTAACGTCGTGGTGGTTAGAATGTGGAAGGTTGACATGGGTCCTTTGTTTATCTGTCCAGAAATCAATAGAAATACAAAACATTATTATTATTATATCAAATGCCAGGCTTTTTGATGGTTATCATTAGCCCTTTAGTTGACTTCAGGCCTCACAGAGGGGAGGAGGAACATCAAAGTGAAAAAATAGTCAAGAGGAAGGGGGGAGGGGGAAACAGAAGAGTGTTTCACAGATGTAAAAGAGACAGACACAATGGTAGAAAAAAAGGTGAGGTAAGTACTGGGGAAGCAGTCGAATATGACATACAGTGGTGTGATGATACCGTTAAAGTAAGATGAGTACTTTGAAAGGGGTCGAATATGACATACAGTGTGGGTGATGGATACTGTAAAAGTGGTAGAATACGGCATTCAGTGGGGTTAGTACTGTGGTAGGGGTCGAATATGACATACAGTGGGGTGGTGGCGTACTGTGGAAGGGGTCGAATATGACATACAGTGGGGTGAGCTACTGTGGAAATAGTCAGAAGTCAACTGCCGATTAATAGACTTTTTGATTTTCAGTCAGAAGTCAACTGCCGGTTTATAGACTTTTTTGCCGTTTGAGTAGTCAGAAGTCAACTGCCGGTTAATAGACTTTTTTGTGAAGTGAGAAGTCAACTGCCAGTTAATAGACCTTTTTGCGTTGAAGTCAGAAGTCAACTGCCGGTTAATAGAATTTTTTTGCCGATAGTTGAGTAGTCGAATTTGACATACAGTGGGGTGATTGTAGTTTGAAGTCATGTCAAATGCCGGTTAATAGACTTTTTTGCCGTATGAGAATGTAGGACATATAGGGGGGTCATGGTAGTTTGAAGTGAGAAGAAAACTGCCGGTTAATAGACTTTTTTGCCGTATGCGGAGAAGTCAACTACCAGTTAATAGACTTTGCCGTATGAATATACGTTGCCCAGGGTGCACCACGTGGAGGTAAGTCTATTGAAAAACGAATGCCGAGTGATAGAATTTTTGCCGTAAGAAAGTACGTTGCCCAGGGTGCACCACGTGGAGGTAAGTCTATCGTAGTTAACTGCCAGTTAATAGACTTTTTGCCGTATGAATATAACGAAAGCCGAGTGATAGACTTTTTTGCCGTAAGAAAATACGCTGCCCAGGGTGCACCACGTGGAGGTAAGTCTATCGCACACAAACTTCCGGTTAATAGACTTTTTACCGTATGAGTATACGTTTCCCAGGGTGCACCACGTGGAGGTAAGTCTATCGCACACCCACCAGGTTGCACCACGTGGAGGTAAGTCTATCGCACACCCCCTCCCGATTGATCTTAGAAAACATAAAAAATGGATGCATTTATACGTATTCCAAGAATTCTATGGTTTCGATATCTTTCGGTGCTTTTCCCTGATCTCTCCAGATTTTAATTGTAAGTCAAATTTTAAAAGCATATTACTGTAAGGCGAAATTTTATGAAAAAAGCGTGTTTATCGTATTTGACTAAGTTGTTGGGATTTCATAATGCTGCTAAAATCTCAGCCAGTTCTCGGGATATTTGTGAATTCGCATCACGCATTATTTGCCAAGTTCTAACCTAGATTATAGACACGGAATCGAATGATTGAACACCTCGAATGTCAAATTTTGCGAAACGACTTCAATCTCACCTCTTATCCAACACTAAATTGCAGTAAACAAGTTTTATAAAATTCCGCTTTGATTGAAGTACCGTTTATGCGAACTCTCGACTTTATTACCTTAACCGGCTTTCGACTCGTATTTGCCTTTTATTATCATAAAGAAAGGTTGGCGGTCCTGTGGCGGTAATCTTGATGCCAAGTCATGAGGAAGGATTCTATCTTTGCAGTTGGAGGTCTATTCCAGCTCATGTGAGATTCCCTTGGTTAGTCTTGATAGCGTTGTACATCCTACAGAACCTTGAGAAAGACTAATTGACTTCACGCATGAAAGACCGGTTCCACTGAGGACTTCTCTCTAATTCTACTTACTTTACCTTATCAACAAATTCGCCTGTTTACTTTCCGATTTGTATTCGTTCGGGGTTATTCGATAGAAGTCCTCTTCAAAGGTGGTAGGAAATTCTTTCCCAACACCTAATCAAACATCTCCACTGGATACGTGACGCACTCGCAATCTTTCTCCTTCATGTATTGAATTATCGATTGGGTTGGCATCCCACACTCACGCCTCGACATGCATGATCATCTGAAGAGAGGCCCTCGGTTTAACTATTGAATAATAGAGAGGCGAAACATTACTATATTTATACTTTATTAGTAGAAAAACCGCAGTTTGAGCGACTTGTCTTCTCGTTTCCTCTTCTTGGAGCCCCAGTAGTCGTAATTTTATTGAATTGCAAATTAGATGTTTTGAAAAGTAGATCTCATTTGAGATAACTAACATTTGAACTCAATGAGCACTTATTTTTGAAAACAAACTTGGAAACAAACTTGAAAAAATGATCTATCTGACGACTTTAAAAGTCATTAAAAGTGTCCTTTTTGGCCAATTAAATCAACTTGATCAAGTAGATCTCTTTGTAGTTTTTCCAAGTGGCATATTTGGAACTGCCTATTTATGCCTTTCCAACGGAAAGTTTAATTACCTCAAGTAATTGACTAATTAAGGTCAATTTAATTTTTCCTACAGAGGGAGAGAAAGATTGAGATAGAGAGAGAGAAGTGTTGGAATCGCACTATTTTCTTCTTCTTTGGGCAATTGATCCTCGCTTACGACCTTATTACTGAATCACAATTGATTGACATCAACTTTGACAACTTCAGTGAGCTGTTGTCAACTTAGGCACTTCACACAAAATCATGTTGAAGTGTGCAAACCTTAGCCAAAATAACAGCGTATATTAGGCCCCAGCGTGGGTGCCTATTAAATCAGCATGATTGGATGGACATTTTCACCTCAAAAAATCCATTTCCACCAATTAGTGGTACTTGTTTTGCCCTGCTATCTAACATATCAAGTCATTGTCAACCTGGCCACCTGACTCATTATGTGCCATGACAACAGAACTTACACCTTTCTACATTACGGATAGCATCTAAACAAGGGGGCGAGTGTAAGCTTTTCTAAGAAGAAAGGAAGGTTTTCTCGTGGCGGTCGGACTAAGCAAAGAACCTAAAGCCTTATTGGGCTCTGAACTTGTTAGGCTGTAAGTAAATGCAATGTGCTTAGCCGCCTCCTAATTGCTAAATTCTGTGCGATTTGACTATTCACAGAAAAGATGGGAAGCCGTTAAGGCTGCTCGCTGGTACACCCTCATTTCCCCACAAACTTATGAACGATTAATGATAACATGTATCTGAGCAGATAGTACTTCGTTTTCTCTTTGGTTCGGCACCTCGTCTCCTCACCCCCCCCCCCTTCTTCGGTAATTGGAAAATTAATAACAAGTTGAAAAGCCCCAGAGACTTAGCAACGCTTCCATGGGGCAATAAGGTTATGGAAAAGTTACCTTTACAATAAGAATATAACCAAAATTCGTCTCTTTCATATACAGCTTCTAAATCGGAAAAAAACCCATTCTACTGCTGAATTTTCTGAGCAATACCAGCTGTCTATTTACCTTAATGACCCCTTTAAAGCCATTTTTCTCCTTGCTATTTTTTAGATGTCAATGTCCCGAAACCGGATGAGAGATCTATCATGACATACGTCTCCTCGATGTATCAGATGTTGAATAAGCATCGTAATAAGAACAAGAACGCAAATCGAGTGGGAAAGGTGAGATTGTGCAGTAGAAGTTGGCTCTTTACCAACATCTATTAACTAAAACAAACCTCGCAATTTCAGCCATTATACTCTTTTTATGAAAATTAATAAGTAAAGTAGTGAGAAACTAGTTACTTCGAAATGAGCATAGTATTGAGGCATTATTACTGCGTAGGCGCCTTTTTTTGTAAGTGAGAATATTACTAAGCACAAATAATTCTTGTTTGAGAAATGAACTTTTATGACTCTTAAGAAATGCCTTTTATCTCGAAATTCGCTTCTCAACCTCACCCGTTGCATTCTTTAAACTCAGGTATATTGAGAGTGGGCTCACCCAATGAGCTTGATTCATTTGACATATTCTTTTAAGAGGGTGGAGAGATTGTACATTCGTTCGGGAGGGG